TTATTTTTTGTTGCTCCAGAGGACAGGCTCAGATTAATGTGACTCTCTCCCAATTGAGGTAAAGATTAAATCTTTACCTTACAGAGGGGAAGATTTCAACTCAACATGAGGTAGAATGGTTTAGCATCTGGAGCTTTCCAGCAACAGAGTAAGCTGCCTTAGGAGGTGGTGAGCTCCCTGTCTTCAGGAAGATTCCAGCAAAGCCAAATGCAAGACTATTCGGGATGCTGAGAAAGATTTTTGAAGAAAAAAGGGGGTGGAGAATATCCGTGATTATCCATCTGTGTTCTGTGGAGTGCCAGGGTTTCTTGGATATGTTTGAGGGGCTGGGTTACTTGGGAAAGGGGAGAGAAATGCTAATGTATAAAATTCTAGCCTCCATCTCTACTTCAGTCAACTTATGATGAGCGATGCATATTGAATGCTTATTGCAGTACATATATTAACTTACTGATACCTGGGAGACAGGCCTAGACAACTGATGGGACAGGAGTGGCTGTGTTCCATCAGCTACTATCATTCTGCCTCACTGTAGAGTCTGTTCTCTTCCAAACCCCCCTGAGTGCGCCATGCTTGTGTCACCTCTGGTCTTCCCAGCTCATGCTGCTCCCTCCCTCCCCCTAAGTCTTCCCCCCAACCCCCCTTGCTCCTACTCATTCTTCCTTCACATCTCACCTCCTCCAGGAGGTCCTCCCTGATGCACCCTCTCTCCCTAGTTGTGTGAAATGCTCTTCTCACGTGCTCTCTAAGCACTACCACCATCCTGGCACTTAAGTGTACTGCATAAGACCCCTGCTTGTCAGTATCCCTCACTGGACAAGCACTGTGGGAGCTGGGCTCCAATCTGCAATGCTTCCTGCTGGATCACCAGCCCTGTGGCTGGCAATGGTTTGAATGAATGCCTGCTGGGTGGATGAATGAGTCTTGAAACTTAGTCACAGCCACTGGCGCCTGCTCCCATCTGGGATCTGAAGTCCAATGAGGAGGTCCTTGACTTTTATTTCTTCCAGAATCACCACCATCTATGCACTTATCATAGCTCTAATGATCTCCTCCCACACAGCTGGGAGCTTCTGGCTTTGGGCCCGATCCAAGACCTTACCCTTGCCCTCTGGTTATGTCTGCAGATAACACATGACATGCTGTGGAGGACCAGCTCTCTGCAGAGCTGTGGTTCAGGAGTGCAGTGTTGGCAGACTCTCTTCTTGTTCAGCCTTGCCACTGCTGGCCGGCTTAGGCAGCAGAGGAGCCTGGCTGGAGCAGGACACAGGGACATGCTGTCTTGACTTATGAATGCTAGCTATACCTGCTCTCCAGTTCGTAGCACCCACAGAACAATCCACCCGATCTCCCCATCCCCACCGCTGCTGCCCTGGGTCACACTCCCATCCTCATCTTTTTGCTCAGGATGGGGCAGTGGCCTCAAAGTGGTCTCCCTGCCTCCAGTCTTGTCCCTTTCATTCTGTTGTCTGCTCTGAGTTTTCTCAAATGTACATCATGATTAAAATCTTCGGTGTCTCCTCACTACCGACAGGATAAAGTCTAAACTCCTAAGCACAGCCAAGGCCTTTCCTGGTCAGCTCTGTTCTTTGTCCCTCTTCCAGCATAAACTACCAGCAGGTTCTCTTGTAACTCTTTACTTCATCTGCTTTTCCCTGTACTTGGTACTTCATTCTTCTCTCTTAAACTTGCTCAATACGTTCATTCGATAAGTATTTATTAAGTGCTTATCACGTGCTTGGTTCTATTCCAGGGGAGAAAACCCCAGTGGTGAACAATATAAAGTCTCTAATCTAAGAGTCTTATATTTGGGGAAAAAACTTGGAAAGAAATACATTGCAAATAGCTGTATATGCTCTGATTAAAAAAAAAATAGGGCTTGCCACAGAAAGTTAAAGGGTTACTTTAGATGGGGGGAGGGGGTCAGGGAAAGTTTCTGATGATGCCACACCTGAGACATTTAAATGCTAAGGGACAGGGTGTTCCAGGCAGTGGGAACAGCAAGCACAAAGGCCCTGTGGTAGCCTGCAGCTTGGAAGGAACAGAAAGGAAGTGGGTTTGGCTCGTGTAGTCATCAAGGGGGGAGAGAAGGTAGAATCACAGCTATGGCGAGTGCTTGGAGAAGGCTGCTCTCTTGTTCACGGCCCTCCCTGGACCTGGACAGACTTCCTTCCCAGCACTTCTAAGGATTGTTAACCAGCATGCAATTTATGTAATGGGACTGGGCCAGTCTCTATTTTCAACCCTGGTGCCCTGCACAGTACCTGGCAGACGGCCGGCATTCACACATGCTTTCTGAGCCAATTAATACAGTCACAGATTCCCAGAAAGACCACTGAAGACTTCTTCACCCTCATGATCCACAAAGGGGAAGGAGATCATGGAAAAGCTGGTGCATCATTTCTAAAGGGAGTCCCCCTGGGTATGGCACTGAGCAGCATGCCACGGGGACTCACTGCTACAGATGATTAACAGATAGCTTCCTCCTGCAAGGCTTTTTATTTCAGCCTCCTTCCTTGGAGTGGGGGAGAAGAGGCGAGAGGACAATTTTCATTTAGCCTTTGGAAAAAGTGCCGAATGGGCACTCAAATATTGATGATGATGACAAATACTGATTTGATCAAAGAGAACTGAAGGAAAAATAAAAGGAACACAGTATTTGTCGAAACCTCTAAGTGCTTCCCAGAATCTGAAAGAGTTCAAGTGCTTAATGGTTTTCTTCCCTTGGTTGCCAGTTGTGGAGAAGGGCAGACACTGAGAAGGTATTGACGGTGATGCAGAGAAGGGCCAGCGCTGGCAGCACTGTACTGTGACTTGGGGACCAAACAATAGACAGCAGGGGTAGCACCGTGACCAGAGTCATACTGATAAAAGGCCAGGAGAGTACATGCCTCCAGACCTTCCACAGGCACCCTCTCCTGCCATTCGGAGCCTAAAAGAACACCCATGACATCCACAATAACTATAAAAACAATAACAGAATAGTAATAAATCCAAATTCTGACTCTTTAACCCGGCACACAACCCCCTACCAATCTGGCTTCTGCCCACCTGACCCTCATTCCTGTTGGACTGAGCAGGACTGAAGCCATGTTGGCACCTAAAACCACACGGCCTCTAAAAGATTTTAAAAAACAGTTTTTTTCTTAGCAGGCATTTCTCTGAGTTCCCTCTTATCCCATGGTTAATTGGATATTTTGAACCTTGATTATGGGGCACATGAACATAATGTTGTTTTCCAGCCAGCCTGAAGTTGCAAACTTGCATGTACTATCTAGGCACTGAGATAAGGATGGGAACAGAAATCAGACAAGGCCTTGGTGAGACCTTGTACCTGACTCATAGACACGGACCCCTCACTGCCCACGTGCCCCTCTCTCCTGCTTTTCATTTTCCCAGGTTCCATTCCCTCAACCCCCTCTTTAAAAACCCCTCAGTAAATCTGAGGCTTTGAGATGGCTTTAGCCTGGCTACTCTTCAGGTTTACCAGAGAGATGGGTTAGCCCAACATCTCTCCTCAGGTCACTGGTATTCCTGAATGAAAGCGGACTTCCCTTTTCACCAACATTTGACTTGTTTATTTTTCTGTCTGGAGGTAGGCAGCTGGGCCTGTGAGTTTGGTATCAGTTTTGGAGAGCTGAGTGTGCCCTGTAATGTCCCCACCAGCCCCCGGGCACACTGGCCATCCTTCTGTTCTTCACAATGAACCTGTCCTACCTCAGGGCCTTTGCACCAGTTTCTTCCTCTACCTGGAAAATACTTGTCTTGCTCTTCTGCAGCTGGCTCATTCTTGTCACTCGGGTTTCAGATTAAACATCACCTCCTCATAGAAATCCTGACCCCCCCAAAACAACGGAGCTGTTCAGCTGCTCACTAATACATTGCTATGTAGCACTTGACACTGGCTGATAATTTCTACTGATAGCTTGTTTACTTATTACATCTGTCTCCTCCACTAGAATAGAAGCACCAAGAAAGCAGGGACCATCGTCTTTTTTCACCTATGAATACTCAGTGCTCAGAATAAGTAGAATGCCCTCAGGAAATGTTTGTAGACTGAATAAATGAACTGATTACTTCTGGGTCTAATGCTAAGGGTCAAGGAAAGAGCAGAAGGCAAATATTTATTGAGCATCTAACACACTGCAGACACTGAGTTAGGTGCTTTACATGCAATTTCACACCAAGTCTCAAAACATCCCTGTAAAAGTTTTTAATCCCCATTTGACAGTTGAGAAAACTGAAGCACAGAGAGGCTGAATAACTTGTCTGAGGTCACATAGGCAGTAACTGGAAGGAATTAAAGCCAAACCCAGTTCAGTCTGACCCCGCATGCCCTGCTTTTCCTGCTACGTGCTACTTTCCCATATCCTTAAAATTGAGAATCAGTCTCTACTTGGCTCCTTGTTTGCTGTGTGACCATGGGCAATCTGCCGAACCTCTCTGTGCCCCAATTTCTACAACTCTAAAAGAGATCTTTTATGAGCATCAAATGAGATATAACATATGAAAAAATTATAAATGGTTAAGAACCAGGGAAATACATTAGAAGATATGCCTGTGACTAATAGTCTTTGCCCATACAGATTCCTAAGGAGCCAGTTACATGTGAAATCTCTTTTTGTGCCAGCCCACGCATTGACCACCTGAATCCCAGGTCTCCCGTGCGCATGTCATGTCCATAAAGACTTCAGAGTTTCCTGGCTATGATAGACACTTTACCTGTTGTTTCACTGGTATTTTTTGCTCATCCTGTTTCCTCTGCTTGGAAGCTCATTTCTGACTTCACCTTGTCCAGGCCAAGTGTACCCCTTCTGCGTTCACAGTGATCTCTGTGGAAGTGTTCTGCTGACACCAGATAGTGGGCTCCCAGGGCAAGGATAGTGGCTCATTCACCTAGGTCCTGCCCTGAGCCTGACACTGAGCCTGGCACACTGGAGGTCCTCACCAGAGGAGTGGAGAGGCTGCCCTTTCCCTGCCAAGGCCCACGAGCCACTTACGTTTTCACTGTTGACATCAGCTTCACTGGGGCAGCCAAATAGTTCCCGCCTCAGGAGGTTCCCGTCATACTCCAGGAAGGTCAGGTAGAGGTTGCGGAAAAACTCCACGTGCTTGTTCTTCACCCGAAGCTTCTTGGGGGAGTTCCAGTGAATGACCTGGTAGGGTGACAAGGACGCCGTCAGGCAGGGAGGGACCTCGCACATGCAGGCAGCCGTGGCATGGCACTGGGCTAAACATTATCTGTGGGTCTGTTCATTCATTCATTCATTCATTCAACATTCGCAGGAGAGTGGTGAAGACTAAAGGCTCTGAGGCCAGGTTGCCTGGGTTCAAATCTTGACTCTGCTCTATGTAGTTATTTAATCTTGGGCAGATTACTTAATCTCTCTGTACCTCAGTTTCCTAATCTTTGAAATGGGAATAACTTCAGCTCCTATCTGGGCTAGTTATTAAATGGTTGTCTCTCAGCTAGCTCCAAACCTGCTTTCTGATGCTGAGGCCAACCCTAATTCTGCAAACCCTAATTCTGCTGGGCCAGCTGAACCCTGTGAGGAGCTGCCACCTGGGGGCCCGAGAGGGAGACAGAGAGCCTGGAGGAGGAAAGGCACCAGCTGCTCCTTGTTGCTGCCTGTGCCCGGGAGCAGCTAAATCCACTTTGCAGTTTTTGCAACACTCAGAACATGCTTCATTGTCATCCTTCTCTCCCAGTGCTGCTGCTCCTGGAACTGGCTGGTGGCCTCATCCTAGAGGTTTGGGTCCCTACCCCCAGATTTTAGAATTCCCACCTCTTTCCTCTGTTCCTTCAGCTCTAAGGGAAGTAGCTGTTTCCTATAATTTTCTATTTTTGCTTTTTTAGGTAACATGTGAACACTTTATGCCTAGTTAGCATTTTTAAAGATTAAATTCTCTGTTCAAATGATTAGTCTGGCTTTTGCCTCTAGCCAGGACCCTGAGGGATGCAGTGTCTCATAGAGCTGTTGTGAAAAATAAACAAGTTCATACACATAAAGCATGTAAATAGTGCCTAGCATAGGGTAAGTGCTCAATAAATGCTGTCTCTGATTATTTAGCACCTACAGTGTACCGGATTGGGAGATGGCCTGAGGCACGTGGCATTGGGGCCGGCCTGGGGCTCACTCATGGTTTGCTGGGGAGAAGTGTCCACAAAGAGGTAATTAGAATGTACTAATGGAGGAGGATCTAAAAGGAATGACAGCTCTAGAATGCTCAGAGAGGCATCATAGAAGGAGATACCCCCGCTGGGGCTTGAAGGGTGGGCAGGAGTTTCCTAGGGAGACAGAGCCTGGAATAGAGGGAGACATGGGGATGGTGTGGTTCATTTGGAAAATGAGAAGTTGTGTGTTGTAGCTGGGGCACAAGGGGCATGGGGGATGGGTGGGAGAGGTGGCTGGAGCAGTGGCCAAGGTGAGGCCCCAGGCCCGTGAGGCCCCAGGCCCGTGAGGCCCATGTTCAGAGCTCAGATTGCAGGCACTGGAGATTTTTAAGGAGGGGGAAAATTACTAACTCTGGGTTTTAGAAAGATCATTCTGGTTGTAATGGAGAAGATGTGTGTGGTTGGGTTGGAAGGGCAAAACCAGAGCCAGGAACGCTAAATATAAGTCAGTTGTAATTTCCAGCCAAGAGATGAGGCCTCGGTGACAGTTTCTGATTTGATTGGAAAGAGGAGATATGCACAGAAAAAAAAAAAAAATCTGGGAAAAGCAAGCAAGTATGAATAGAATATTTAACGTGCTAAAATCTGTTCTAAGCACCTTAATTTATTATTAACATTTAGTGCATTTATTAGTAGTATTAATAATGATCAATTATTACTATATAATAATGATCAGTAAAGAATAATTTATATTAATTTATTTGATACTCATAACAAGCCTATGGGGGCAGCACTATTATCAGCCCCATTTTACAGATAGGGAAATGAAGGCACAGAAAGACTCTGCAGTATGCCTGTTGTCACACAGAATCAGGCTTGGAACATTGGCAGCCTGGCTCCAGGGTCCGCCCAGCTCCAGAGTCCACCGGCCTAACTGCTCACTGCACTTCCACGGTCTCTGAAATCAGCACATATCCCTGTATGGGCTGCAAGTGCTACAGATGTTTCCTAAGGACAGAGATGACAGACGGATGAACCAGTCTGAAGGACTCTCATAGTTGAGGGACATGAGCTGGAGCTTGAATGATGGGGTGGAGGCAGAGGGGTGAAAGGGACAGGGAGAGTGGGTCCAGGGAGTGAAATCATACAGTATCAAGAACAGCAGAGCCAGGGAAGGACCCCAAGGGGGCCTCCTAGTGATGGTGGCCCCAATCGCGAATTCTCAAGACTCCATGGCGGACATCAGGGCAAGGCAGGGCCTCAGTGCAGTGGAGTGAAAACCTGAGCCTGGTCTGCAGGGCGCCCTCCATGGGACACCTGTGACGGGAAAGCAAAGCCCGTGTGAGTGGCCATCGCCCCCTTGCTGGGCTGGGAGCCGCCTCCTGGAGGAGGGCTTGTTGGTCTGTTGAACTTCACCAGCACTTTCACATTTGTTGGCTCCTTTTAATCCTCACAATGACCCTAACAGTGTATGCAGTTTTAAAGATGAAGAAACAGTGAAGAATGACTTGCCCAAGGCCACCTAGCTGGTAAATGTGGGATGTGGGCTTCAAACACAAGCTTGTCTGATTCAAAGCCCACGTTCTTTCCTCTACACTGCAGAGAAGGAGAGAGGTCAGGTTTTTAAAATTTCCCTTTTCATGCTTTGTCCGATTATAGAGGAAACACAATAGCTCTCACTTTTCCCTCTATAGCCCCCAAACACCTTTACTCTATCCTTCCGGGGGGTTGGAATAGCATCTAATGTAATGGACTGATTGTGCCACCCCCAAATTCATATACTGAAATCCTAATAACCAAGGTGATGGTGGTAGGAGGTGGGGCCTTTGGGAAGTCATTAGGTCATGAGGGTGGAGTCCTCGCCATTGCAATTAAGTGCCCCTCATGAAAGGGAAAGCTCCTTCATTGCTTCCACCATGCGAGGACACAGCAAGAAGGCGTCATCCGTAAACCAGGAAGCAGACACTGAATCTGCCCTCACCAGACACTGAATCTGTCCATGCCTTGATCTTAGACTTTCCAGTCTCTACACTGAGAAATAAGTTTCTGATGTTTATAAGCAACTGACCAGGGCGTTGGTATTTTGTTACAGCAGCCTGAATGAACTAAGATACTGAAGAAAGGAAGTGTGTCCACAGCTCAGTCACTTCCTGGTTCCCCCTTCAGCCGAGCTCTGTCTGCAAGAGCCTGCACCAGGGTCCAGGGCCTGCCACTTTGACAGAGGTCTGGAAGAACCATGGCCCTCTACCCTCTTTAGGGGATGTGTGTGAGCAATTCCCCTTGAAGCAGCTGGATAAACACTGCTGTACAAGACCAATTCTCTCTCTCTCACAGCATGGTGAATAACAGGAAACCTATTTGGTCCAAACCACATCCTCCGACCTCCCATAACCATGGTATAGCAAGAACCATGGATCTCAGATCAGTCGAGGTCTGAATCCCAGCCATGCTTTTTACTAGCTGTGTGTCCTTGGGCAGCTTGTTTTCCTTCTTGGAACCTCAGCTTCCTCAAGTGCAAGGTGGGCATCAGTAGGCCTGACAAACTAATGAAGAGGGTGAAACAAATATCTAGCAGAGGACCTGCATGTCACGGTGGCTCCATGAATGTGGGTCCCTGTTCTGCCCTCCTTTTTCCCTCCTGCAAGCACAATGTCACTGCAGCAGTAAGTGAGGAAGCAGGCACTCAGCACTCAGGAGTGCAGACAGGGCCCCGGACCTTCATTGGAACGAGCCTACTTGATGCAGCTTGCATTTCAGGGAAGGAAGAATGTGCAGTATACAGTTTTCTCCCTGTGCCTTTTGAAGGGCACAAGAGGGAAGACTGTCCCCTGCGAATGCACTGAGTCCGGGCACAGGCAGATCCTGGGCCATGCATTACAATAATTGCCTGTGGGCTGGTGTCACTCATACCCAGCGGGGATCATGTCTTTGCTGAGAATGATTTTGGTGCTTGCCAAATGCTGAGCCAGCAGTAAGGCTGATGGATATGCATCTGACTCAGGAAACTTGCGCTTCTGCAACAGGGAGAAACTTAAACCAAGCCTATGGGCCCTCAAACAAAGACTAATGCGTTGTACACAAATCTGCCGGGGACTTTGAAGTGACTGTCTCATTAAATCCTCCCAATAAGCCCATTTGAATCTCACTGTCCACTTTATGAAGACAAAATGTGACTTGACCATATCTTACAGCTGGTAAGTTGTGACACTGAGACTTGAAGCCAGTTCTAAACCCTAAACCTGAGTTTCCAAGTACGATCATGTCTGGTCTTAATGAGCTTAATGAGCTAAGCATTTTACAGATGAGGAAAGTGAGGGTTTACAGAGAGGAGACGTGACTTACCCAAGATCACATGGTGAGTTTGGGCCAGGTCATTGATAGCACTAGGACCCAAGTCTCCTGGTGACCCCATCCACCGCAAGCCATCTCTGATCCCATCATGCCTCATTCTGCTCTGTATCTGTCCAGAGATCTGGGTTTGTGTGCTGACTAAGGCAAATGCTGGTATTTTATAAAAGGAGAGGGAGAGGGAGAGGATGGTGGGCTCACTGGGACTTTAAGTGCAACGAAACCAGAGAGGGAGAGTGACTTGCCCAGAGTCACACAGAAGAAGTGGAGGTAGAGGCCAGCTTCTGTCTTCTGGGCCACTGCTCCTTCCACTAAACCACATTTCTGACTCTGAAAATCTAATTCAGGATTTGGATTGCTGTTATTTCTGATCAGCGCTTGTCTGACTACTGAGAAATGTCATTTCCTAGTCCCTTGAGGGACAGAATCAGCCATCATTGCTGGCTTGGGGGCAGCAATCTGGTGGTGTAGAAGACATTTACTGACACACTTTCACACCTGAGACAGAGTGACGCTGGAGAATCTGCCACAAATAGATTTTTGTGAGGAGTTGGTAAGCACATGTGGACCCAAAGCGTTGTGAGGAAAACCTATCCTAACTAATTCTACCTTCTGGGGCACATTAACACAGCCATAATAATTATTAGCTGCTAACATATACAAGTATTAGATGCTACTCTGTGCCAAGCACTGCTCTGAACACATGACTTGCAATAGCTCACTTGCTCTCTACACAACTCT